AAAAATTCCAGCAGCATACATTCTCTTCAACAAGCACCTTTGCAGTTCCTGACGTACGCTTTTACTGTGTCCATGTGGACCTACTCGGACCGTTACCTGCACCACGCAGCTACACGTAAATTTTGACTGCTGTCGATCGCTTCACACGATGGCCTATTGCAGTCCCTATTTCGGATACCTCAGCAAACAATATTGCCTTTGATTTCCTCACTCACTGGATATCCAAGTTCAGTGCTCCAGCTACTCTTACCAGTGACCGCGGAAGTCGCTTTCAATCCAACCTCTTTCGGGAGTTGACCAAACAGCTTGGGTGCACGCACATCATAATCACTGCATATCATCTTACTTTCAACGGCCTCGTGGAGCGTCTGGATCGTCAACGTAAGTCTGCACTGTTTTTTCATTCTGATCCAACCTCTTGGAACGATAAACTGCCGCTCGTACTCTTAGGCATTCTCTCAGCTATGAAGAAGAACATTCGATGTATTGCAGCCGAGCTTTTTACGGCACACACCTGCGCCTGCTCGGTGAATTCTTGCAATCTTGCTCAGTCAACACTGCAATCTCAAACACGTTCATGCAACAAGTGAAGCATTGCATGATTCAATTGCGTCCAAACCCCGTGCGTAAGATACACCGACACGTGTTCGTGCACGACGACCTACACTCTGCTCCCTTCTTTTTCGTCCGGCACGACGTGGTTCGCAAACCGCTTTGTCCACCGTACGACAGACCAATCTAAAGTGCTGCAATGGATTGACAAATATTAGGTCATTCAAAAGGCCGACCAGACCGACACAGTCTCCATCGACAAACTTAAGTCGGCCTAAGTTGGATGCACTCCACCGCCCGCTGGCCCGTCCGTTCCTGCTTCACCTTCCCACCCGCTCCATTCGCCTTTCGTAGTCCCACACCACTACAGCTGTCGCCTACCCAACCCAACTCTCTGATTCACCTCCTGTATCACCAGATCCGTCCACTCGTTCTGGTAGACAGATTCGTCTTTCTGCCAATCTGAAGGACTTTGTCGTGTAATCTGTTTCCGCACTTTCTTGTCGAGGGTTTGTTTTGTACCACCAACGCTCTGATGGGCTACTCAAGTAAGCCTATGTACTTTTTCCTTTTAGTTGTGTACCTCTATTACCTGAATTTTGTTTACATGCATTACATGTACACTTTCTTTTGAATGCACACTCCCTCCATGTACCTTTGCGAATGCGTTAACGTGCTATAGCAGAAAGGTGTCTTCTTGGTCCTGGCTGGGGACTTATTGGAACTTGTGCTTGAAAATGATCCTAAAAGCGACCTTCCCCTTTTAAGTACTCGCTCAATGACCGTATATATCGTCGTGTGGTTTGACGGGCAAACCCGGTTAGCAACTCTAGCCAACTCCTTATTTATCGCAAGTCGTTTCTGCAGCTACTGAGGAAGAAGACTATCTGGATTTTCTTGAGTCTGTATCACCTTTTTCTATACTAACAATTCGACGTTCACTTTTATCGGTTGCCACAGTTAGTAATGGTTTATTTAATACTCCCTAGGATGTGTATTATGCTATTCATAACACGTTTTATACGTCCTGTAGGCTTTAAATCCATTAAGCTACTACACATCTCACTGACGAATAGTATACAAGATTTGATCGAAAACACAATTTAAGCCTGCATGGGTTCTGCTTGATGTGACGGAAATGCC